CGTGGAACATCGACAGACTGTCCTTGTAGGTACTTGATCAAGAGGAGTATCTCAGGGTCGGATCGCTGCTGATGTGCCATCTCTGATGGTGTCACAGCTCCCAAGAAAATAAAATCTTCACCATCCTCGGTGGAAGCAGAAGCAGCAGGTTGAATCGGAGCACGTGACAAGCAGTCCGCATCACTGTGCTTGCGACCTGACTTGTACACAAGCGTGATATCGTACTCCTGTAATCGCAAGCTCCATCGTGCAAGCCGTCCACATGGGTCCTTGAGATTAGCCAGCCAGCATAGCGAATGATGGTCGCTTACAGCCCGAAAAGGCCTACCATATAAATATGGTCGAAACTTGCTTATAGCCCATACCACGGCAAGGCATTCTTTCTCGGTCGCTGAGTAGTTCACCTCAGCTTTCGAAAGAGTGCGACTGGCATACGCAATGACTCGTTCGTGTCCGTTTTGCCATTGGATGAGCACGGCCCCAAGACCTAAATTGCTTGCATCCGTGTGGATATCGGTTTCCGCTTCCTCGTCAAAATGCGCCAGAACAGGATGGCTTTGAAGGCATTTTCGTAGTTCATTGAAGGCATCCTCTTGTTCGGCAAGCCATACGAAAGGCATTTCCTCTTTTGTCAGTCGTGTCAGTGGTTCAGCAATTCGTGAAAAATTTTTAACGAACCGTAGATAATAGGCCCAGAGACCTAAAAATCGCCTAACAGCCTTTTTGTCTGTTGGCTTAGGAAATCTTGCTACGGCCTCAGTTTTTGCAGGGTCTGGGCGGACGCCTTCTGCACTGATGACATGGCCGAGAAAAAGGAGCTCACGGAAGCCGAAATGACATTTCTGCGGTTTTATCGTCAAGTCTGCTGATTTGATCGCAGTGAGCACGGCCCGGAGCCTTTCCAAATGTTGCTCAAAGGTAGCAGAGAAAACTACAACATCGTCGAGATAAACCAGACATGACTGCCATTTAAGACCACAAAGCACCGTGTCCATCATCCGTTGGAATGTGGCGGGTGCTGAACAAAGGCCAAAAGGGAGTACCTTGAACTCGTATAAACCGTCCGGTGTCACAAACGCTGTCTTTTCGCGATCTCATTCGTCAACTTCTATCTGCCAATACCCACTTTTAAGATCCAATGAGGAAAAATACCTGGCATTTCGCAGCCTATCCAGAGTTGTCATCAATTCTTGGCAGAGGATAAACATCCCGTTTGGTGATGGCATTCAGCTTCCGATAATCAACGCAGAAACGTAAGGTTTGGTCTTTTTTCTTCACAAGAACAACAGGTGACGCCCATGGACTTGATGAAGGCTGGACTACATCGTCTCTGAGCATTTCTTTAACCTGATTACCAATAGCTTCTCTTTCTCTTGGTGACACTCGGTAGGGATGCTGGTGTATTGGCCTCACTGACTCGTTGACAATGATGCGATGTTTGGCGACAGGAGTGCGTCGAACCTTAGATGACAACGAGAAACATTCGGCGAATTCCCTTAAAAGACCCTCTATTTGCTCTTTTTCGCTTGGTAGTAGGCCTGGCTCGATGTCGATGGCTGCAAGGACAGACTCCACGTCTTCGAAATCAGACTCATTGTTTTCGAAAGTTCGCAGCTCCGTAACCTGGACGAAATCATTCAGACTGGCGATGACGGTTCCGTTTGCAACAGTGCTGCACCTCATTTCCAAAGTTTGTGAGTAGAACAATTGCACATCCGTCACGTAACTTAACAAGGCCTCGTGCCATGCAGATCCCTTTTTGGAGTAGTAAGGCAGTGTTGTTGTCAGCAAATCCTTCGAATTCACTGAATGCTTTGCTGTTTACTGCGACAGATATGCTCGATCTTGGCGGCACCATGACGCCATCATCTGCAATACAAAGGTCATATACGTTTTCTTCCGTTTCAAAGGTAGCAATCGCGTGCCTAGTCGAGAATGAGACGGAAGATTCTCGCAAGTTAATTACAGCGCCATTAGCTCGTAAGAAATCCATGCCGATAATCAAGTCTCTTGAGCATTCCGGCAGCACAATAAAACTGGCGACGTACGTGAAACCCCGTATTCCGATTCTTGCTGTGCATATTCCAGTAGGGTCGATGAGGTGCCCTCCTGCTGTGCGAACTTGTGGTCCCTTCCAAGGAGTCAGCACTTTCTTTAGTATTTTAGAAAGTCCGCTACTCATCACTGAATAATCTGCGCCGGTATCTACCAGTCCGATGACTTCGTAGCCGTCAACGAACACACGTAAATTGGAAGCAACGTCACTATCGAAGCACCGGTTTCTGAATGGGTCGTCGTTCAGAGTCAGCACTGGAGGTTTTTCTGCATTAGCGTCGACAGCGGCCTTGCCTCCACAGGTCGCTGACTCTAGTTTTCCCGACGTGGGCTTGGGGAACGAGACCTTGGGGAGCTTGCTGAAGGTCGGGGGCTAGGCGATCTATACCTCCTCGTTGTCGTTGCCCGAGGTTGGTGTCGTTGGAAGCCACTTGAGGTTTGACGACCTGACAGGTATTCTTCAATTTCGAAGGGACGTTCACCATTCCGTGGTCGAGGTGCATTAGCAGGAAAACCACGTAGTCCTGCCTGGCGGTAGTGGCACGTTCGGTAGAGATGACCAGGCTCCCCACAGTGGTAACACAGCGGTATCCTGTCGGGAGTGCGCCAGACATCGCTCTTCTTTAGTCTCCTCTCTGGCGTTGGCTGCAGGGTGCTCGGCGGCATCGGGTACTGCATAGGTGTAGCCGCCGCGACGTCTGCACGTCCTGGAGGTCCTCGTAGTAGCACATCAGCATACGTCATTCTCGTCTTCTGTTGTAGTGGCGGCCCTGGCTGTGCGTTGCTCGAAGGTTCGCGTACCACCTGCCTGACCTCCTCACGGATCACATCGGCCAGAGACGAAAGCATTGGAGCGTTCTGGTCAAGACGCTGCCTCTGCAGCTCTTCTCGCACAACAGACCGCACCAGCTCGCGTAGTGCTTCCATGCCGTTACCGAAGGCTGGTGGCAACATGTCCAAGGAAGTGATGATCGCATCCCGGTTGTATAACCTTGCTCGCTGTTGTAGCGTCCTTTCCATTGTAGTAGCCTCGGAACGAAACTCGGCGACGGTGCGCGGCGGGCTTCGAATTAGTCCGGCAAAGAGTTCTTGCTTCACGCCTCGCATCAGATGGCGCAGCTTCCTGTCTTCGCTCATATTTGAATCCGCTCGACGGAATAAGCGAGACATGTCTTCCACATACATGGCGACAGTTTCGTTATTGCGCTGATTTCTTGTCTGGAGCGCAGCTTCAGCTCTCTCTTTGCGGTCTGTGTTCGGGAAAGCAGCGAGCAGCTCCCGTCGAAAATCAATCCATGACCGGAAGGTGGCTTCGTGGTTTTCATACCACGTTCGTGCGCTATCTTCCAGTGCGAAGTAAACACTTCCAAGTTTGCGCTCTTCCCCATATTCGTTAGCCTTTGCGACGCGTTCAAAGTGCTCAAGCCAGTCCTCTGCGTCCTCGTAGCTTTCGCCGTGGAAAGGCTTTGGTAGCATTGGCCGGTTTACTACAATGTTGGCTGGAGTGACCTGAGCTGTCATGTCAGTTGCGTACCCGTTCACAGCCGTTGATGTTCTAAGCGAAGTCGATAAAGGTGAAAATTCAGGACCCTCACCACGTAGGCGTCGACTGCAGCGCTGATGAACAGGCGTCAGCTCGTTGGGTCGAAATCGCTGTGGTTCTGGACTGTGCTCCGTCACTCGAGAGGGGCTTGGCATCACACCCAGCACTTCCACCAGATTTGTAACGCACTCTTCAATAAACTCTTTTAATACGCTAACGTAGGCTGGGCGAACTTGTGCCCGAGAATAATAGCACAGCTAGACTGTCTCGAGGATTCCCTTCTGCCTCTTCTTCTACGTTCCCCTTTTTTCCAACACGATTCGCGCGCAGCTGGGTCCCACAGGCTCGTGCGTCGCAAATCATCTAGAAGGCACAAGTATTTGCTAGCGCGCGTAATTTGAAGCCACATTGTTTCAATATTGTATTAAAATTTCAGCTGGAAATACTGAAAATTAAAAAAAAAGAAATTCAGACCAGTGTCTTCCTTTAACCTCCTTTATCAGAGGCATGCTCTGGGGAGGTATTCTTGTTTCTTATACGAGACGTATTTTAAACCCCTGCCGCACGGCACGTGAAATGTCATTCGCAGCGAAAGACATTTAATAGGAATCATTGAGATCCTGCATTCCAGGTCTACACGGCTATGTGGAACAACATTTGCAATTGATGTCCGCATTTACCGGCAAGCTGCTATGGCACCAAAAATGTTACAAATCGTGCATTTAATTTATATAACATTGCCTGGCTGGTTCAAATCGGTAGAAAAACAATAATCCTTGTGCACATTTAAAGCGAGCTAGCTTAAAGCCACTCACAACTTACACTCAGCAGTATTTAGAACCGTGACAGTGCTCATGAATTGTTACGGCGATGAGTGGTGATTAGTGCAAACGAACGTTGCGAATAAAGCATCAGAACCTACTGAAACGTCTCACAGGTGACGAGGGATTTGGGGCTGCACCTACACGCTAATTCGTTCACAATGGCTACAATTTGTGCTTAGACTTTGTAACGATCAACAGAGAACTGCGGTCCTTCCCGGGAGCCGAAAATTAGTTTGAAACCACTCTCCTTACCCTCATCAAAGAGATCAGGACAAGCACTCCGATGCGCTTGTCCTGATCTCTTTCCATCCCGTCTTTAGTACGCTCTGTTTTTATGAAGAGCTAGTAGTATTATGAGCAGGTGGCCACGTATGCATTTTCTTATCAACCTGTATTTCACTGTAGGCACACTGGTGTCCTTTATACCCATTTGTTTCTTATATCAGTGTTTTTTATAAGGGGTTTGGCTTTTTAACATTAGGTTTATAGCAGAACTAGTTTTTATTTATTTAGCCGATATTTTTTTTTTTATCGGGGTTCATTATATTGATATTTGGGTCTATATCGCTGCTGTGCAGGTGTGCTGTGTGGCACGTGAGCTGTGTCGTGAAGTGGTTGGAGCCACCCCTGCAGGTCGGTTGCTTGTCGGGCGTCTCCATGTCGTGGCCGGCAGTCCGGCGTACCAGCTCCTGCGGGACGGCTACCTGGACGACGACATGATCGAAGAGCTTCAGCGGCACCGAAACGTGGTCCTGCCCGGACGGGAGAGCCGTGCGCTTGTGAACCTCTTGTGGAAGGCCTTTCAGCACCCATCATCGAGTTTACGCAGCTGCTACACGGCAAAGGTACAGGGCCACTCACTCTCTTTGCTGCTGGATTTCGTAGCATTGCTGCTGTTGTGCAGCAGTTGCAGTTGCTAAAGTTAACAGTGTAGTGGCTAAGTTCGTGCTCTATGGGCAATTCCTGTGGAGCCTCGTTTGTTTACCCCGCTCGATATGCATATGTGCACATATCAGTAGATGAATGCACTAGGCTTCTGTAGTAACGAAACTGATTATCTAATTATATATGCAGCTTATTGCTCATAGCATCTTTGCTTTAAAAATACTCCTACAGTGAGCAAGGATTGGTCCGTATTCGCTACTCCAACTGAGCGCTCGCCATCCTCGCGGCTCCACTGGAAACAGCACTAACAGGGTTAACCTTGAAAGGAGATATGTTACCATGTCGTGCGTTTAGAAGCGGCTGCGTGCTACCTTTATTTTCACCATGCCGCTCGTGTGCTGAGCCCGAAAAAGAAAAAAAAAGCAATGTTCAAAGACAAATTCAGTGTGCTGCAGTGTGTGGCATCGCGGTGGAAACATGGCAACGTGTCGTTCCATCACTTCCCGAAGGATTTATTAGATGCCTAATAACATGGATTGGTGAACGAAAAGAAAGCAGCACTCTTATTACAATCAAAACTGTGATTTGCCTTCTCTCAAGATACACTGGCCCAGGCATAGCTACTCTCTGAATCAAGTGGATGGCATGCGTATTCAGCTTTTGGCGGTGCAATAGAACTCGCTGGGATACATGCAATCGGCAGCACGAGTCGCAGCATAGTTGCCTTAAAAACTGTTAAGGCCTAATCTGTTGCAAAGTAGCAATGCAGCGCAAAAGCGCTAGCACCTTTCGACTAAGTTCGGCAAACAGGTTCTTCAACGTAAAGTGAATCTGATGTGGTTTGCCAAAGAGGCTCGATGTTTGCATGCAGAGCGCAACTATTTCCACGGTTCGCCAGTGAAATCGTTTATGCTGATAAGAATGAGGTGGTCGCCAGCACCCTTTCGCCTTCAACGAAGCAGTGCTATCCGACGCTGCAATTAGAGAGCTTTGACGCAGTGCCAAGCGAAAGTGTTGCATCGACCCTGTGGCCACCTTTGTTTTCTCGGCCAGTGTTGCCAGCACATGGAGCGTTTAATAGAGTTGCGAATAGCACTTGCGTTGTCTAATTGCTTAGCAAGTTGCCGTCCAGAAAACTACTGGTTGTTGATTACAAGCTTTGATGAACATGAGACTCCTGCTAGTCTTGCGCGCTTAATGTTTCATAAGCGGCTCCATTCAGCATCAGGCAATATAGCTGGTACTTCGTGCGATTGCAACTAGCAGTGTGGAGTTGAGCACAAATGAGCTTTTGAATAGGAAGGGGAAGCAAGCAAGCCAAGAATTGTCCATCATTTGACACTGTGTCTTCAGCTTTACTTTTCTTAAGGGGGGACGTGCCTTTGAGAATGAACTTTCTTGTTTCTGGTTGGATGATGATGAAAATCGGCACAGACACTAAGATTGGCCTCCCCGAGCATCCACAAAAATTTCGAGGCGATAGCACAAATACTTAATGAGAGACAAATTATTTTTCAATTGAACATCGTGGAGGGGCTGGAGGATTTATAAAATGACAAAAATGGTTGGTAATTGCTGTATCCACAGCCAAATGTATGTTGAAGGGGGCTGCATTCTCAAAATAACTTATTTGCAACACTAAAACTTGTAGTTTACGTTTTCTCCAGCGACACTGCAATGAGCACACTTGCACTACAATCAAGAAACTCTATAAAAAATTCTTTAAGGTGTACAATGAAAAACTAAGATCGCAGCCCCCTGAAGCACAGTTCAAGGAGCATTACAAAATAAACGGAATCAAAATCCGTACAGTGGTTGCCCAGATATCTGCTCCACGAGCTGAGTATAATGCCAAAAAAACAGTATTGAGAAAACTGCGTTTAAAGTTTCAACTTCTTTTTACGTCTCTAAAACACCTAAAGATTGTGATCTTAGGTTTGTCTTGTGATATTTGACTTTTCAGGTATCTGGTCTCTGACCAGTGTGCCTTGGTTGCCCCTTTTTTTTTTCCCCCATAATTTCCTTTTCATGTTTTACAAAGAACAAGTATGGATTTCAAACCAAGTTCTTTGTATGAAGGAGTGGTGTGATAGGCATGACAGAAAAGATTGTAATTGAATGAGACCATATACTGAATTGATTACACATATTTCTTGTGCCGAAGTTGTAATTAGCATAATAATGTTCTTGATTATAAGTATTCACTGAACATTTCTTTATTTAGAGAGGTTTATTGCATCAGAAAAATGGATCACACCATGACAGCCTATGCCTTCTTTTCAAATAACAAAGTTATGGGCAGAGAACTGGTGGCACAGGAATTTTTAGCAGTATATTTAATGACGTAAAACGGGCATATAAAAATTTCCCTTATTCATACGTGCTCTTTTGCTCCTCTAGCTGTGAAACGCATCATCATACAGCCGGTCGCGGAAACTCTAATCTACAGTGATTCATTAACCTCGGAACATTCATAGACGTTCGTGGCAATATCAAGCACGGCTCCAAGCACGGCTCCAAGCACGTCTGAATCGCATCACAAAAGCTTATTGACAGCACTCCATATGACCGTGGGGTGGGCGGCCGCGCGGACAGTGCAGCCGGCGCGTAATGCACTTGCCGGCAGCGTTCGATGACGATGTCATACGATGACAAGTAATACGATGACAAGTAATACGATGACAAAAAATTGGCACGCACTGCACTTGGCATCGCATTTTCGAATGACGACGCGCGAAACTGCTAGCCGCTGTTCCGAGCAATCCATGGTAGTGAGGGGGGGGGGGGGGCTGACGAGCTGACTGTGTTGTCCGCTGCCGATGCGTAAAATGCCCGTACGTGATTCAGAGGAGCTAGCGAGTGATGTGGTACATTACTTGCAAAGAAGCACGTCGCCAAGAGTGCGCTTGCACGTCGCTCCTGCTCGCAGTTTCGCTGTCAGCGGAGTTAGGCCTAAAGCCGACTCCGATGACGCGCCGCACTCTTAGACCGCCGCGCGCCCGCTCGTAGTAATCTGATCGTGCATCCGGTGCAGCCACTCGTAGCAATCAGATCGTGCCGCCGCTTTCAGCTTCATTGCTTGCAAAGAAGCACGTCGCCACGAATGCGCTAGCGCGTCGTTCCTGCTCGCAGTCTCGCTGTCGGCGAAGTTAGGGCTAAAGACGACTCCGATGACGCGCGGCGCTCGTAGACTGCGCTCCCGCTCGTAGTAACCTGATCGCGCATACGCTTAGTGCTCGTAACTAAAGCGAAGTTATATCTTAAGTGATTATCAAGCCTGTGAACATGTCACGAAGTGGCGATTTTCGAGAGCCATGTCCTCGCGACACACAAGCAGCAGACGACGATCTCCCAGAGCGAGCATCGGGCCAATGGCGAGGCAAGCTGAGGCAACATGGCGGCCACAGCCAATCAAGGGCCTCAAAACGACCTTCAAATATTTGCTTTTTGCTCGCTTGTTGTTAAGGGAAAAGCCAGCTGAGGCGGGAAAGTTAAACACGGAGAAATGCTCTTTCCGATGAGCCCAAGAAGTCGGCTCTCGACCCAAGCATCGCGAAGCTATAATTTTTTGAAAATCGCCGTTTTCTTGCCATTTCCAGAAAAAGTTTTGCTACCTAGGTGGGTGAAACGAATTTTCCGAAGCACTTCTGCGCGGTTTTCAGTGTAGATATTTTGGAACCAGATAGAAAAAGGGTTCCAGAAACTGAAAACACGAGTTTCAAAAAATCGATTTTTTTGCCATTTTTCGCTATCCCAAAGCCGCGTCGTCTCCCCTTAATAGTCAATCTTGGATATATCAAACTCGGATATATTGAATTATTGGCTGTGTCAAACAGTTGAGAGATCCCCTTGAATTTCCCATGCAAAAGTATGGGACAGGTGCACTTGTATGTTGAACTTCTGCACAGTGAGACATCTGCTATATCGAACGATGCGCCATGCTGAAGCCCTGAAAGGGCATTTTTTCCTAGCAATTATTGATCAATTTTCGGCTGCGTTCTAATGAGTTTCGATCCCTTTGCATGGGCACGTGACGAAAAGGCAGTACTATTTTATCACGCTTATCTGGTTCGTTGCGCGGCGCTTGCGAGTGCACCCGTATGTTTGATGCGTGATCTGCCGGTCTCAATTCGCGGGCATAGTGCTTTCATAAAGACTGATGAGGACACCCAAATCAAAATAGACGTGACTTGGCGATCTTGTTGCCATGTTGGCACTTCCTTGTTTGTTAGCACTCAATGGCATGCGAGCCTGAAAAGCGTGGCTTTTGATATGCGCAACCTCGTGATGTATTTTTGGTGTTTTTGGTTTTAAAATGCATGTCTTGGAGGCTACGGTTTTTCTAGCTTTTTGCATCAAAGCGGCGGAAAGCAATGGCTGTCAGCTACAAGGAAACGAGTGACATCAATATTACCAACATGTCACAACGGTGGGAACTCGGTGTTGTTGCAGTAGCATTGTCATTTGCGTGTTGTCGACTTATGTACTCGCCTTGTTCTGATGAATCCTCATTTGAAAGTTTCACTGAACGTTGGCCCTGCCGCAAGTGGGGATAAAAAATATGACTGATGTTTGGAGTGAGATCAAGTGATGTCAGGCCAGGGGACGACTTGTCAGTCATGACCTTCATAAGAATGGCTAGTTGGGCAAGTTGGTACTGATCCATAATGTACTGCGCAAAAAACGGACTGAAACACGGAGTAGGGAAAAAGGACAAAGGACTAGTCATTTTTCTCGACTTCGTTTTTCGGTTAGTTTTTTGCGCAGTACGTAATGGAGGAGTCATGACCGCCGACCATGGCGTGTGGTGCCTCAATGAATTCCGCAACCTATCAGCATTTGCGAGCATCATCTCGGGACAGTGAGTGACACATTGGTGCAGATGGCGATGCAGGTTTTTCTTGCTGCATTGATGCAGAGATCATTGATGCTGGTACTGCAGAAGTGTCCAGACGGTTATGAATGTGCCAGTGCCTTCACTGCCACCATTGACCAATCTTTTGCCACTCTAAAAAGCTTATACAGGCATTCTGTGTCAATGAATGCTGTTGCGGCCGAAGAAGCTGAATTCGCTTATTTGAAAAGCTTCTATGATATTGAGGATGACTGGAACTTGATGGCATGCAAGAAACAAGACACGTTTATTGACAATTTTCATGCGGAAATAACACCTTGTTCTTCATTATACAGTGAGCGAATCTTTCTGTTAGTGACACAAACGAAAGTTGGGCTAGTTGGATATGCATGGTATAACTATCAGTTAAAGCGCACGAAAAACAGACAGGAAGAGAGGACAAGCGCTTGTCCTCTCTTCCTGTCTGTTTTTCGTGCGCTTTAACTGATAGTTACTTTCTGTTAGTGCTTGTAACGATTTCCGAGGCCCGATATGTTTAATCAAGGCCTTGAGTAAACATCCTTTGTTTCTAGAATTATCGATATATTGAACTATTTTGCTATTCTTTTCGAGTTCAATATATCCTGAATCTACTGTAGGCTGTATTGTGTCGGAAGGTTCAACCAGGCGTGTGCACTTCCGACACTAAGTGTCTTCATACGGTGATAGAAAAAATGCAAGTCATCCTAAAACAGGAAAAGCATGGCTGGTAATATCAAGTCTGATTTATTAATTATATGCAGAGTGCAAACAAAAAATGTTGCTAAATTAAACAAATTGCATACGATGTTTGCTCACAAGCTATTTTAAAACATTATTTCTTGCTTCTAATAGGCACAGATGGTGCAGGGGGCATATGGCACCCGATAAAAGAAATTACCTTCTTGGTTTGATAACTGAGTCGGTCAGTAGTGCATGGGCTGCTGACGTGTCGTGAAGCATCCTTTTCTCAATGCTGACCAGCCCTTTGCCGCTCGAGTCGAAGCCTGGTCTTACATAGCTTGCCTGTCGATTCGGCATCATCATGACCCGGACTTGCTGTGCCTACGTGCAATAAATATGCCTACTTTCATCAGTCGTGTCAGAAGCAGCTGATGCTTTTGGCTCTCTTTGCAGCTGAAAAGTTGTATTAAAGCTTGCTATTTTTGGAGAGGTTTCTTGTTCATTGCTGCTACGGTTGGGCATTTTAGGTATTCTGGGAAACAATGCTAGGCAATGCATCCGAAGAGAGAACGGGTCTCTTGGATGTCTAGCAGGACATCGCCTTTGTATTCAGCGTGATATAATTCAGAGGTTGCCTCTTCTGGGAAATGTCCATTACACACGTGGCTGCAAAACTTTTATCTGCTCATGGAATTTTCCATCACCACTTATCAAAGCGCTATGGTTCACGGGAAACCTTGAAAATTGACACACTCTTTGTGTAGGTCCTATTGGCTTTCAGGCTCGAGCAGGGTTGCCGCCTGGCGGCAACTGGTCAAAGTGATGAAGTGTAGATTGCTCCGTGCGTCCTCTGCTAGCCCGGTCGTGTTTCTATGTGTGCCTGCGTCATGCACGTTCTCAAAGTGTGCTTGGTCCGGTCATGTCAGCGAGAGTGTAACTGTTTTTACGTATGCCTGAAACGACATAAGAAAGCATTTGGTCTTTCTCGGCTGCTAATGCTTATTAATAAGATCAGCGAGTGCTACTTTTTGGAGTGCTGTTTATCGTCGTCGTACCCTCCATTCACCAAAATAATTTCAGAGCAGGTGCCGCTTTCTGCTTCAAGCACATTGCAAAATACTGTTAGCATCCTCCTAAACATTAAATGGTGTGTGAATGCAGCATTTTATAGCGACTAGGTTGTTTAAAAAAAAAAAACCTGTTGGTCATGCACTTGTGGTTTGTTAGTAGGTGAACAACTACGGCACAGTAGTTTATTGATCATGCGAGGAGCCTTAGTTGTGTTTATCTGGCCGTGGTACGACTACATAATAATATTACTATCTTATAAACTGTGACACATTGGTACTTAAACTGTACTCAAAACAGAGTTGCCGTGTGCAACAGTGTGCTTAGTATAAGAACACTTTAAAGAGCCCAGACGCTTGAAAATAATTCAGACAGCATGTCTTGTGTATAATTTCGTATGATTTTCCTGAAAAATTTGCCTATTTTACGTTGTCTTCAGGGTTTGTGTGGCATTGTTAGTGACCGACGGAAGGCAGTGGTCATTTCTGTCTAGAAAAAGATGCTTGTCCTATTAATCAGGCCTTTATTAGATTAAGTGCACTGTCATGCACGTAATCTATCAATGAAAGTTTTCTGCTGAACTCTGACATAATTTTTTGAATATTTTCACTGATGCAAGAACATGTGCGTACACATGGTAAACGCAGTGTAGCGCAAAGCGCCATCAGCCACTAAACTTTCCTGACTAGACTTATCGACTGTTTCTTATTTCTTGTGAACTGAATGAGAGAAAAAGAGATCATGCATACAAGGTGCGAACGGTGGTACTGAACTAATGGCACAGATATGTGGGCTTTCTACAATCTTTCTTTTTCGTGATATGCAGATAACAAAGATGTAAATAAGTGGCTCAGTCACGCTACAGCAGTGCGTAGCATGCGGAATACTTGCTAGCTTCGTACAAACAACACAGCAAAGGCGTGATTTAGTGCGAAAGCATGAAGAGAGTCACCCAGGAAAGCATCCCTATGAAAGGCAGAATGCACTTTACACGCGCGTAATGTCAACTTGCATTGGCGTAGAGCTTAGATATTGACAGTAAACTGCAGTCAACCCATTTTATCCTCCAACAATCTGCTCAGACCGCACGCAATGAAGCGTTGCTGCGTGTATTTGTATTCGCACCGTCGACCGCCTATCCACACTTTCGTTGACCGCCTACCCACAGTGCTGCCACCTATAGCCCTATCTCGCTGCGAATACCCCATCCAGCAATTCAGGATCTTATCTGCTCATTTTGCAGTGCAGCCAGCGAGAAGGCAACCGACATCTACTCTGCATAGTATGCAGTGTCGAGGTTTACATTGAGTAAATTCCAAAATACGAATAAGCAAAATAAATATGCTCACGGGGCTTATGTGTTCAGCACAATGCATTTTTAGGCACAGAAAAGCCTTTACACACAATTTTTGGGAAGATCTGCAACCTGCGATGGTGTGTGAAGTTTGGAATGTGCACCACGTGAGCTCATGAGACCCTAAAGTTGTTGCATCTTCAGCAGAGTTCTGCATGTGTTTTTGAATGCCACTACCAAGTGTGCATTGCAGAGAACCTGACATCCGGGCATTGAAGCACTCTACGAGACACCATACCATAGTGCCGTCTGTACTCGTATGGCAAAAACTACTCGTGGTTCAAGAACCTCTGTAAAGAGAATCTGCGCGTGCTGCTCCATAATGCGAGTGGCAAGTGTCAACAGCCTATTTTTTCTACATCATTACTATGACATCACATGGAGTGAAGTTTTTTAACACTCAGCACAGTGTTTTGTCTCTTTCTTGCTCCATGGGCAAAACCAGTGGTTTTGATAACACGCCATAGGGCAGAACAGGTGCAATGACTGTGTTGAATGTGTATTATCACAATGTATTGTGCCGACATCGGGCTGTGGTTGCAGAATCTTTGTTACAATTTAAACTTGGTTGTTTTCATACTGTGTATTCTTCAAACATTTTTGTGGCACTCCACATGTAAAACTGAATTCTTTGAGAACTATACGTAAGTTGAATTTCAAAATAAACTAAGTGCGCTTCCTTTCAGGCGGAGGAGGGAGTTCCCGCTCAGTGCCCCGCCAACTCGCCAGCCTGGTTCAGCTCTGAAAACCTACGGCTGCTGCAGCCTCTTGCCGAGGGCAGCCACCTCGCCCGGCTGGCCTTCTGTAGCCCGTGAACAGCACAGACGGATCCCCCCACACTTCTTTTTTTTCCCCTCTCTTCTTTTTTTTTCTTCAAAGAAAGTTTCTTTAGCGTCACCCGTGGTTGGACTATTTCTTGTAGAAATAGTGGTGCCCTCCCCCCAACCTCTTTTTCTCTTGGACAAGAACTGCAGCTGCTCTTGCTTCCCAATGCTTTCTGCCCTCCCACTCTTGGTTCTGGCAACCCCAAAGCCTTCTCTGCTGCAGCAGGTTGGCGTCTTGCATTTGTCTCCTGCATCGCCAAGGGTCCTCACCGCTCTGGTGCTCGGGAGGCAGCACAGCTGGGCGTTGATCTTTCAAAGACTGACCTGTGGAGTGTTGTGCGGTGCTTGGCTGTAGTGCTCTTTCTTCTTAAAACGCCCATGAATCGCAGCATGTATTCGGTCACCAAGATAAGAGGACAGGCTGTCCATTTGATTTGGAAGCTTCTTCCGGTCAAGTGACATTTGTTTTTGCGGTTGTTATCCTCTTTTGGTGCAGTTACCGTGACTTTGATCCCGTGGTTCTGTTGGACTGGCCTAATCGTACATCTTCGCCAGTCCAGTGATAAGTAGTGTCTTGCAGGGTGGCCGCGAGTGAAACCATGCAAGCTGATCGCAGAAGAGTGCCCCCCCCCCCCCCCTTTTTTTTTCAAGCTTAGAGAATACAGGCTGAAGGCACACATGCTTCTTGGCAACGTTTCAAAGCAAAATAATGAAAATTTACTCAAATTGTCCTTATTAAATGATTTACCGTGATCTATTGGACATGTCTGTATGAGGATTAGATCGTATCAGCAGAGGACGTTTTGCTGGGTTGATGTAGTGAGAGCCGTATTGCTCGAGGCTAGGCAAATGTAGGATGGCAAGCATGGAAGGTCTGGCTCCACTCGTGCAATAGCGCGGAGCGTCATTTGTATGCTGTAACAGTAAGATTTTAATGTCATTGGCTTGTGGCGACTTGCGAAGCGCGCCGGGCCGGAATCTGTGAGAGGCTGTGCATTGATTGGGAGCATCAAACCAGCCGGCAAAAATGCGTCGCAGCTCTAGGCTCACCTATTGTTTTGCCCATCAGGCCAGGCACACTGGAGAGATGTTCCAGTCGTATTGAATATTTCTTTCATCAGTGTCTCGTTTTTTTACACTTGTGTGCATGTTATTGATTTCCATATTCACCATGTTAATTTTTCTTTCATGTTGCGAGCCAGTGTTTTCATTGCCCTGTCTGAAAGCGCTCACTTATAAAGACGCTTTTTTTTCTTTACACGATGTGCTGCATGAGCCCTCCCTTTTACGATGCTCGTTTCTCAGCACATAGTATCGTTGTGCTTCTTTCTGGCTTGCATATTTTAGTGTAGCTGTTGGCTGCAGCTTCGAGCTTTTTTTATTACTCTTTTGTGCTTACCTTTGTGAATGTGGGGAGGCAAAGGAATAAATCAAAATCGGCACTTGTTTGTTTAGACTTTGCATCAGTAGTTCTAGTCGAACCATTGCCGATTGCACCATTGTATTCTTTCTTTAAGGTAGGCTTGGGGGTGCAATTTTCTCAAAACTACATTTCAAGAATATTCCTGCCTGGGCTTTTGAAAGGATAATAGTGTTCTCTTATAGTTTCGTTGTCATGTTTGCGGTTGTCGCACACAATTCCTGGAATATCATCGTGGGTAATCGTTTTTCTCAGTGCCCTGGCATGCAAAGGATGACTTCATCCTCATTAAGCTCGAAGCTGGAGTTTTTGTGAATGGGTAAAAAACAAAGCATTCATATGACATACATGGCAGTGCTTTTAGTTAATGAAGGCATGAAATTGTAACTGAGTGAAGTGTCTGTAATGTGCTGTTTTCGTTTGAATACTGTACACATCTTTATTGTGTTTGCACAAGAGAAGAACTGCAAATGGCTGTAAAGGTGTGGTTTGATGAATGTTTCTGATGCTGTCTTTAAGGTATGAGAAAATAGCTGCAATTGACGTAGATACAAATATTTATATAAAATATTTTCAGTGGGCAGTTTTTCATTTATTATTTTGTATTTCTTTATTGAATGTGTGCAAAGTTTTATTAGTACAACACTGAATTTCATAAGCAGTGTGTATCTGTCAAAAAAAAAATTGTACGGTGCATGCTGCTTTTTACTTTTAGGCAAGCCTTGCGGCTGATTTTATGCTTTGTTTTTTGTAAAGTACAAACCTGGCACCTACTACACGCATTATGTCATGAATTACTCGACCATCTGAAAATTTCCATCTTTTACGGTGTGTGTGCGTGTGTGTGTGTGGTGTGTGTGCGTGTGGTGTGCATGTTCCTGGGAAGCAGTAGTCCTCACGGTGACATGTTTTCAAAAAGCGAGGTCCAGATGCAGCCCACCTCCTTCCTCCCCGACGATGACATCCATTAATGATTTCTGGCTACCAAAAGCTCAGAGCTGCATGCAGTTCGACCCTTCCTTCGAGCTGTGCTTTCTTTGAGAGCTTACACCTCGACACGGCATCACCGAGCCAAGCTTCTGCCACAAAGGGCAAGATTTCACGCAATGGTCCATGCCCCGGGCTGCTTGGTGGCTCGCATCGCCTGCCCAATGCTGTGCACTTAGTGCAGCCTTTAGGTGAAACGGTTGGGTGAAATTATGGCACTCTGTCGCCCACCTGTATGGCATTGACCTTTCACCTCTTTCCCTTGTGTGTACCGCCTGCTGTACGGAAATAAATGTGGCAGTTGTATACAAACATTGTCAAAGTGGTCTAGTGCACTTTCTGGTTCTAATGAGCATACTGTAAGCTGACGAATGTAGCCTGCAGAAATGTTATGGGGGGGGGGGGGGGGGGGGCTGGTTCCAAAAATATTACTTGTACTCTGTAGTTTCTGTTGAGTTCAGACTGCCATGTCATGCTGGAGACTTGTCATACACGATTTAAAAGGCCCTTCGATGCTTTTCCAGCAACTATTCTGTTGCAATGGAATTTATAGATTGATGGTCAAAGGTAATAGTTAACCTTCACCTGAGGCTAAAATGATGTGAGCCCCCTACTTTAATTTATATGGCCTCCCGTCTCCGTTGCCTGGCTTCAGCCACCAGTGACATACTTGCTGCCAACGGCAGAAGCTCCAATAGCGTATGCAGTAGCAGCTTGCACTTAATCATTTCCTGCTTTGTCCTGTGCATTTGTGCTAGGGTCGCCATGGTCGGGGTGAAGCAGAAAGATATTTTCATACCCTTAATGGCCCCCTCTGTTATTGCTCAGGGTGGACATGTAACATGGCAAAGACTCTGTAAACGAAAGCATAATGGAACCGCTACCTAACTGGAACATGCACCTCTATTATGATTGGTTTCATATTTGGATTTGCAACCCAGCTCATCTCGGTAAACATTTTCCTGGGCCCTTCAGAATTTTGTTTACAAAAGTGCTGTATTCAGGTAAAATATACAAAGCAGAAGAAGCCCATTATGGTTCTGGGGGTCCCTGAGCAGCACTCATTGATGTTTGTCTTTAGCGACTTTTGTTCTGCGATTAAAGCCTTCTCGAGGGGAGTTTTTTATAAAACCGCGTTACAGGGTAAGGGCATCCCTCCGCATACAGTTGCTTTGAATCAGTGGAGCATAACCTCAACGGGCCACTTGGTGCACAGGGAGGCTCGAGGATTAGTGTGCTGTGCAGTCCCTAAGGGGCTGCATCTCCCGCTCCCGAGTTTAGATACCAGTTTTTTAACTTGCTTGGAGATCACCACACATTATAACTTAGGCTGCAGGGCATCCCCTTGCCTCATTCAACACTAAATAGGCCACAAGTGGTTGAAGTGGTAACATTAAGACTTGTTAGACGCGGACATATCCTAACCCGGTCGTCGTGAATAAAAATCTGGTCTGTAGTGTTTAGGTCCATTGTGGTTAGTGTAGGGGTTCGCTCGATTTCGACGATATGCTCTGGCGCTGCTTGGTTTTGGCCGGTGATACTTCTCGTGGTGAACAGTGGTGGTAGCGAATGCTGCACAGTGGCGTGCCAACTCTGAGCTGTCCAGAAGACCCGTGTGACGGCAGATGGGCTTGGCCTCTCTGTCCCATCATGGGAACAGCCAGTCTGACTGATCCTCCGTGTCACGTTAGGTTATGTTCATGCCATGAAGTTAAAGCCATTCAAAGGAAATGTTAAAGGGCCCCTGACACCAAATTTGGGAACTCCGAGATGCTTGTGTTGTTTGATAGTCCGGCATGCGGGACCACCTCTGACTGATTATTAGTGGCGAGGGTTGCCTAGAAGATAAAAATTTAATTTGGTTTTAAAGTAAGCGTGTGTGCTGTTACGAGGGCCGCACCGCCGACGAGGTTACGAAGGGCGCCACGAAACTCGCCGCTGCCAAGGCCACTGGCCGCGCCGACCGCGAAGGGGCTCGAACCGACGAGAGGCTTCTCTGACACATAGGTCTACTGCTGGTGACATGCCGCAGGGCTTTTTTTATAGGCACCGGGTGGATCCTTTGAGTAACCAAATGTCCAACCAGAAGCGCCGCTGGCCGTGATGTCGGAATCCTCCAATGGGGCCCGCTGCAGCGCATGGTTGCACCAAGGACGAGAGATGTTGCCACGCATTGCGCAAGACTCGCCAGACTGGAAGGCGCCGATTGCTTCAGCGGGCTCACGGGCTGAGGGAGCTCGCGGCGCGTTGCGTGACAGACCGGCGCCGCCGCTTGATGACGTCGTTGAGTTGATCGCGTCAGGCGGGCTCTATTGCTGGCCTTGACACAGATTGCCTTTGCAGAGGCATTGACGCTCGGTGTGGACTCGCAGCACCCCCGCCGCCAGACAATGCGCCGGAAAGACGAGCTGCTTCTACGTGGCTCGGATGTCGGACGCGCTCGTTCGCCAGGTCCCTCCAGTTTCGCCTCCAGGGCCATGGGGAGAATACAGCACTGGACTACGTTCCCTGAACACATCGCATTATTTAGGACGGATCCCAGCTCCACTGGCTTGTCGCCACAACTTGCCGGCCAGCTTCGCTCGTCTCTTTTGACGATTTTTGGTCTCAGCACTTGTTGATGGTTCTGCAACTTGTCAAGAACGGTTCGACAACAGACAACACACGACACAAGCAAATGCCCTCGGTCACCCGATAGAACACCAGACAAAGTATAGTACAACATATACCTAGCTACGTGTCTATCGGAATTTCGTTCCCTCTACATGAAGAGGCACATGTGGGACACAAGACTTGAAATAAGCACGTAACGTAACGTAACAGCAACGTAACGAAATAGAATACAACATAAAGTTGGCCCCTTGAGATCACTCTGGACGAGAGCGCTCAGCTAAGGCCGCGATGAGGAGAAAATTTTGCCCCGAATCGCCAGCGAGAAACCGAAAGGTGGAAAGGTACTAACTAAAACGCACGGCTCAATGCGTCTGCATTAGCGTTTAGCTTTTCTTTTTTGTAGCGAACGTCAAAGTTGTGCTGTTGGAGTATCATGCTCCATCTCAGTAACCGGCCACTTTTAGGCGACATGTTATTTAACCAGGTTAGAGGACAGTGGTCCGTTTCGACCTCGAACCGGTGACATAACTGGCTAGCTTTTGAACGGCCCACACGAGGCAAGCGCATCCCTTTTCAGAGGTACTGTATGCCTCTTCCCTGCAGCTGAGTTTTCGACTTAAATACAAAACTGGCCTTTCGTTACCAGCACTGTCTTTCTGGCACAATATAGCTCCCATGCCGCGATCACTCACGTCGCATTGAATGACAAATCTCTTTGAGAAATCGGGTGCCACGAGTGTTCAGAGACGCCGAGTAAGACACGAGCATGGCTCATAGCAACAACAAGAAGACCCCCCTTTATTCCGAACTGCCCCCCTGCTATATACCCCACATGAGGTGGCGCGCGCATGCCGACAGCGCCATCCATTAGAGGATTAACATAGCACTCAGCGTCCACTACATCTTCCCTCCCGGGATAGTTACATGTTCAACCTGCGCGGTGGTTTCACGGCACGGCCAGAACGCGTACGCTTAGGTTCATCACACTGAGGCGCACTTGCTTGCACAGGTAGCGTCTGCACTTCAGGCGAGGGAGGCATCTTCACAGGCGGCACAGGTGATGCGCACGAAGCACTTGAAGCACTTGGAGACAATGATTCCGACGCTGAGGTCGAGGCTGAGTCTCTTGGCGGATTTGATGACAAAGTTCCATGCGTCGGTGATGAAGCCATTGATGCTTGCTGTTGGACATTTTGGTCATCTACAAACGGCACCAGATGGCAACGGTTCCTCTGGACAACACCACTTTGAGTCTCGACCACATATGACCTTGGTCGCTGAGCTGGGCTGAGGACACGACCGCTGCAACCTAAATCCTTTATCCACACGTCCTCCCCCATACTGAGAGAAATCAGAGGAGTAGTACTGTGACGGCTATTGTAGTCCTTCGCCTGTTTCAACTTCGCTGCAGTATCCTGTGCTTGAAATTCCTCGTGATTGGGTAAGGCCGGAAGAAGTCGTTCAGGCAGAACCGGAAGACGAGTTTGTAGTCTCCTTCCCATGAGTAACTGAGCTGGAGAGACGCCCGAAACTCCAGGTGTGTCTCGGTATGCGAGTAGAGCGAGGTACGGATCCGGGCTTTTCTTCAGCAAATCTTTCACGGTACGCACCATGCGCTCTACCTCTCCGTTACTCTGAGGGTATCGAGGGCTGCTGGTCTCGTGGCAGAATCGATACGCCGTTGCAAAGTCGGCGAACTCCTTGGACGAGAATTGAGGTCCATTGTCCGTCCGCACAACGTCTGGTATCCCAAAACGGGCAAAACAACTCTTGACCGCAGCAACAACCGCTTTTGCTGATGAAGTTCCCAGTGTGACTATTTCTGGAAATCGGGAGTAGTAGTCGACAATGAGGACGTAGTCGCGTCCTTCCAGGTGGAACAAGTCGATTCCCAGGCGTTGCCATGGTCGTTCCGGTGTTGGCGTTGGTGACAGTGGCTCAGAACGCAAGGCTCGCGTCTCAGCACACTTAGCACATTGAGCCACAAGGTCCTCAATATGCTGGCTGCAATGGGGCCACCAAACGCACTCGCGGGCGCGCTCTTGACAGCGGCGGACACCTTGATGTCCTTCGTGCAGTAGTGCGAGAATGTCCTTGCGTTGGGCTGACGGGATGACAATGCGGCGATCCAGTAAGAGTAACCCATCGTACACACTCAGTCTTTCTCGCTCCTTCCAGTATGGTGCTAAATGGGTCGGAACTCTCTTCTTGGACGGCCAGCCTTTCTCACAATAAGTCATAATAGAAGAACACTCGCTATCTTGAGCTTGAAGACGACGGATCTCGTCCAGCTGATTTTCCAGTTGTAAAGGTAGCTCCTTGAGAACTTCCCCTATATAGACTTCCAAGCTGCTGACTGCTTTAGAAGTTGGCAAGTCGCAGGGTGCTCTTGATAGTGTGTCCGCTGTGGCTAGCAGTTTTCCAGGAACATATTTGACGGCGAACTGATAGCGCATCAGTTTTATTCGCATACGTTGAATTCGAGGTGGCAAGATGTCTAGATCTTTACTTGACAGGAGAGCTACAAGCGGAAGGTGATCGGATTCGACCTCAAAGCTTAGTCCACGTAGGTATTGATCGAACCTGGTGACAGCCCATGTGACAGCCAGAGACTCCTTTTCCGTTTGACTGTAGCGTCCTTCTGTAGTAGTGAGAGATCTGGAAGCATAGGCAACTGCTCGTCGAATTCCTGACGGTTGATCT